TAATAATAAAACGTGTTAAGACAAAGTCAGTTTATAAAAAGATAACAAAGGGTAGTTAACTATAGACACTGTTACATTGTCACTGTGACAAAAGTTCATTCACAAATGACTTTTCTTTGCCCTCAAATATAATCTATCTAGGTTTTCAAGGAAAATTTTGACCAATGAATGCTCAAGATATCATTATAAATTTGGCATCCAATCAGTACCGGTACTATTATATATTCACAGTTGTTGAAAAATGAACACGTTTTCAATCTCCTAACAGTGAATTATGCAAGCTAACTGGATCTCATCTAATTTGTGGCCTGTATATATAATGATCGCTTTTGTTCTAGGTCTATTATAGTGTCTGAATATGTGTGTAAGACCTTGCTTCTGTCAATCAGATGGTTAGATTCAGATTAAGCAAGTCACAGAGAAAATTAATTGCCATATTTATAGTTCAGCAGCTATTACTGGTACTCCATTGATACTCAGGAGGCTTTTGCTTGTAATAGTTTAATGCTAAGCAGTATATTCTGTTAATAGTGGTTGTCGTCCTGGTTTCATTCTACATTCTATTTTGTTTGATCTGTTGCCAACGTTTAGAATTTAGTGACAAAAACATACATGGTATTTTTCAGTTACTGTTTTGTTTCGAATTGTTGTATTTTGGTGAACACCTCATATCTCACCTGCTTATGTATAGTATGGTAACTGTAGTTGTGTCATATTCAACATTTGTTCCTTTATCCTAATACTTGCTTATGGAATATGTCTATGACTGGATTCTTGAAGCTTTGTCTGCCAGTCTGTCTGCAGTATGCTAATTGATCTTTTGGCCTTAAAAATTATCCTTAGATATGTACATAATTCTGTGGTGTTTATATCTTCTCTGCCATATTTGAACTAGGCTGTTGTTGATAGTTCTTTCATTAAAGTTATGATGCATTTGTTTCAATTTCTACGAGTCCTGAGATGAAGTCATTTATAAAAATATTGAACAAGGTTGAACTCCTTTGTTTAACTCCATTCTCAATTTTAAAATTTTCACTGAATGTGACTATGAAATTTGTGTACATGTTCTTAATATATATGTTATTTTTGTAAGTAGACTGCATAGTATGATTGTATGATAAATATTGTAATGTAAATTTGTAGGCTTAATTGCAGAGAATCTTGTAATTTGTTAATGTAACTTTGTAATTTGTGTCCACTTTTTATCTTTCACTGGTAATCACTTTTTGTTGTGTCAATAAAATAAAAATATTTTCATTAAGTCAGTCATTTTAGATTAGCTATTAAATGTACTTAGTTTTATATTGGTTTGCTTGTCTTGGCTTTCATTGTCCTTGTTATGTAACCAGTTCACTTAGGATTTTTACGTTTTTCAATAAACATCGATCAATATCACATCGTAACTTAAGTGATCGGTAAAATTACTCCATCGCATCACGCGCGCTCCAATGACTCATGAGCCCTTCTGCCACTGGCCTTCGGTCACACGGAATACAGCCCTAAAGGATGGCCACTTCCAATGACTACCCGACCCAAGATCAAATGTTGGGGGGACCAACCTACACACTGCACTACACACAGGCGCTGGTTGCTAACACCTGAGGTGTTCGACTTCTATTATTATTAAGATTGTCCAGAATAAATTTTAACAACAATCCATACCTTTCATTGATTTTGTGGTCTCATCTTGTTGAAGCGTACATTTAAACAAATCTCAACGCCATCATGATTTTCACCATCTCGTTGCTAAGCCAGATGAGTGGGAGAAAGTCATCCAATGACGTCACTCTCACCCCAAAAAGGTCGTTGATCACGTGGTGCTAACTAGGTCACCTTCAAATGCAGGTTATTCAACTCTTTCAAAAAAAACAATATTTGGTTTTACTCTGGATTTAATTCTTCATTTGTGTTATTGTGAAAGTTAAATTAATGGAAATTAAATTAAATTTAGCCCACGTTATGATATGTTGAGTAAAATTTAAACAAATGTGCCACAGAGGTCAAGCAAAAGCGAACGCGGCTAACGTCACGTGACAAGTGACGTCGTTTCTGTTGCTACTTCCAAATGTGAGAAATTGGGTCTCCAGTTTGCGTCACTTTCTGATGATATATTTGTGAACAAACCATCAATATACACAGTATACACAACTTTCGCACATGCATGATGACCAGACTGCGGTGAAGAAGAGTGATTTTCACAGAGGCGTGGACATTTCAAAGGTACGTTCACTGTAAGTAGTGACAGCTCTGTGTGTACGCGGGGAGGTAGTTCGGTAGCTCGCGGTTTCACCGTATTTTTTTTTATTTCCGGTGGTGTTTTGCGATCGCCTCCCACAGCGGGTGAAATAATCTTACGGAGGTACAGCAAACTACAGCGAAACCAAGAGAGCTAGGTCCCAGCCTTTAAAAAAAACACTGTGTAGTGTAACGACACCTGAACAAAACAAAACGATACAACCTCATTGTATTGTAAAAAAAAAAAATCACCAGGTAATAAACACCAAAAGTAGCATTCTTTCTGTTTTTTACCTGTCATGAACAATCATTTTTAAAATTTAGCTTTATGTAATTATGTTTATACATACTACCGGTACTCACTAAATTACTGTGACAAACAGATGAGAAAAAAAAAAGACCACCTTGTGGTTAAAAGTTTATTTAATTTATTCATTTTAAATAGCTTTTGTACTTTACTGTATTTAACATTTAAATCCAAACCTCCACTATGCATCTGGAATAAATGTTTTATAAATTTCAATTAAATTGGTTATGCCTATAATATGAAACAATACTAATCTAGCTTACAGTCAAATAAATTGTAAAAACTCATATGGGTTTCTATCACTGAAGTTACATTTTATACTCTCAGTGCAGCAAATGCATTCCTTCCATCTTTATAGTATTTATAAAATTCACAATTCAAAACAAGAGGTTTCTATTCGTGGATTAAATAACTGTAGAACTGATTCAAATGACATTGTTACACACTTTACTCATTGTTTGGCTGGTTGAATTCAACTACCATTTAAATTTATATATTTTTTTGAAGATGAATTGAATGCCTTTGCTGCGCTGAGAGTACTATGAATGCCTTTGCACAGTATGCTTCATTTGAGGTCATTTTATCAGCCTTCTATTCTTGTAAACAAATAGAGCATGAACTTTAAGATGAAACTTGACAATTAAATTCTGTGTGTTTCAGTCCATGGAAGGTATTCCGTTAATACCTTCCATGTTCAGTCTAAGTCACACATGCAATGCATATTTATTATAATAATCAGTCTATTTATTTTTAGCTATAATAATAACTTTATTACACAACTGATAACAACAAAGGGTAGATACACATGGTGAACATAAACTTCAAAAGTTGCTAGGAATAACAATTAAATGATCAGTTCTAAACAATTTGTTTTACAGTATAGCATATGCACTTTTGTAAATGACAGGTTTGTCTCTATTGTTAAGTTTTTAAGTCATATTAAATGTGACATGCATTATGTAAATACATCAAAGTTTGATCAAATATTAGATTAAAAAAATTTCATTTACATATTACTGTAAAATACTATATTTTCGCTGGAAGGAGGATTCAGTGAATATATACGTTTTTTTCCTATGTTTTACATTTAAATTCAACTTTAATCAAAAATCAGTGAAAATAAACTCCATAATAAAACACCCAAAAAGTCTTTTCAGCAAAAATTAATTCCAGCTAAAATAAAGTATTTTACAGTAACTGTATGATGTTGTATTCATTTACATATTAACTGTATGATGTCGTATCTCATGCTTAAAGGTGTAGGATTTTGCATAAATAAGTTGTTTGAAATCTGCTTACCATATAAGGCAATAGCTGACTTTATCTTCAAACTACTACTACCAAGATCTGCAATAGCTGACTTTTTGTGTGATTTCTCGTTTGCATATTAATTGTATGGTGTCATGTCTCATGACTATTTAGTTATATTTAGATCTTACCTAAACCAGTTGTTTGAAGTGTGCTTACCATACAAGACATAACTGACTTTATTGTCTTATTTTCGTACATTGTCGTTCTACTTTTAAGTGTTGCACTGCAGTTTATGCTAGTCTAATTTTTGCAAGACATTAGCTACAAAAAATTTACTTTAGAAGCTGAATACTATTCAGTGTCAGTTTATTTTCACTGGCGCAACAGCAAAGATTTCATGCAAGATACATGTATGACAAAAAATGTGCAGTGAAAATAAGAAAAGTAAAATATCTACAGTAGGATGTATTTTATTAATCTGCCTGAGATTGTGGAAAATTAACTTGTCGGATGCGAGAGTGACATCAACTTTCTTTGCTGTGTTTTCTTGTATGACTCACCTAATTTGCATATTAACTGCATGATGTCATCTCTCATGCAAGTGAATATCTGTCAGAGTTTGCATATTACTCAAATGTTCTCCTTTATTCACATGACTACCATTCACCTTATTTGCATATTAACTGCATGACAACCTCAAGTTTTGAATATTTTGTATATTAAATTTGGTATCTTCCCATTCTTGGAGAATACCTGTCAGTGTCCCCCACTTTTGTATACAAGTAAAACACCTCTGCACATGACCACCACTTGTTGATTTGTATATACCGGATGAAATAATTTTATTTTTTAAATATGTTTTTTTATTTTGAAACAAGATTCTAATTGTCCATGCTTGAAATTGTTTGTTTTAGGCAAAAGTCACTGTGTACTATTCAGCAGAGTAATACCTATATGCCTGTTATATTAATTAATGTTAAATCTATATTATTTACACTTCAATGCAATAAGCAAATTCATATTTCTAGTCATGTACATCAGTTGGCGCCACAGCTTTTTTTTTATGTTTTTAGAACTTTAAAAAAAAATTGAAGAAAAATCAAATTAAATGCCCAAATTCTATAACCATTATGAAAAATTCATGAAAAATAGTATTTAAAAAAAATAAAAATTAACTAGAAACCTTTTTCTTTTTTTTTTTTTACCTTGAAGTAATTTTTAAAAAATTCAGCAATGTTATGGAGTATTAAGTTTATATTTGAGATTAATATTTTACAACTTGTCAATATGATAATTTTTGTGGTATTTATGACTAAGATATACTTGTATTGATCTTAACAATTGATTTTAACAATTCGTCACTATTAACATGTCATGTTGAGTACATAGTCTAATGTGTGTTGATCGTTAAATGTAGAGCAAAGTACAATCTATCTGGCAAAATTTTTTATTACTCCAATGAACAAACTGAACTTTCTCTGACCTTGACATATATTTTTCTTTTTCACTGACTTGTGAAAATCACGAAAATCATTTTGACTCGTGTAGCTGCTTAGAACTCTAGATGTGCAGCAAAATTTGTGTTAATTATTTCTAGTGGAATCCGCACAGGTATTAAAAATAACAGTATCATTACTTAAGTGTGACCAATAGCGAACTTGACATGTGATCAACAAAAGTCACTTGGAATAAACATGTTAGAAGCCAGTTATAGAATGACATTTGGCTTGGTGACCTCAAAACCCTGTATAGTAGCCTATCATTCTATAACGTATACTGGTACCTATGCTCACCTAGCAGAGAAAATTCCTGGGGTTCCAATTTTGAAAACTACGGCCAGGGAGGGGGGGGGGGGGGTAGATTCAATTTCACTCCTATAAGATAAAGTGGTCACCTCTTTTCACACACTAGTGTTTTCAAATTATTCCCTAAATGAGGGAGAAATATTATACTCCAAAATTAATTTTAATGTATAAATAACCTGATGGGCCTGATCATAATATTCATCTCCAATTATGATTATTATAAAATAATCAGGAAAAATTGTCGTCCTATCAGTTTCCTTGCAATATTCCTGGAACTTAAGCACTTTTAATTTCAACAAGCTGAAAATCCTAGCCAATATCATTTTCATAAGGAATTTGTGTAATTAGGGTGTAGTAGATTCAAACACAGTGAGTGGATGAAACCATTTTCAAATGGGATTTATGGATTTGAATTTATAATGAAGTCATATTTTGAGTGAAAAATGTATTGAAACCTACAAGCATTCTACATATGTGAAATAATAATATTTGATCATAAATGTACAATTTCATTTCAAATTCAAGAACCCCCTCTCCCCCCTTCCATAAAGTATAATCGGACGAATTGCAAATGAATGTTTTTACTTTCCAGTAGTTAAAAACAAAATGACACACAACAAACACTGCTGACAGTATTACTAGGATTACTGTATATGATGTAAGGGAGCTTGATAGCATTTTACCAAAGTTTATTCCAGTTTATATCTGCACCCCCCTGTTGATGAGCTTGTGTGTTTACTTCATACAGGGTATAATTTCCATGGGTGTATAAGTCATACAAAGTTTTATTTCCAAATCACCATTCACCATACAGTAATGGAAATGTAATGGGTATTTTCCCCATCATACAGTGCTGGAAATCCGACCACATCAACAGAGGGGTGCAGATATAAACTGGAATGACCCATTTTGGTACCTTCTTTTCTCTAATTGTGTGTACCGGTAGCTACCAAGTCACAAGTCTACTTGATAAGATGTTTAATAGCTTTGTGTTATCATATACCTACTTGAATACAGATACCAGGTAGTTAAGTAAATAAAACACTCATCCAATAATCCTAATAATCTTATGATATGTTGCTATGCAGGGGTCAAAATACTCAGGTGCACACTGCACTATGCACATAGATTATTAGAGTGCAAGTAAACTCAAAATATAATGCACACACTGTGCATGTAGAAATTAACACGTTTTCTCATTATATTCACTGAGTCTAAATTAAGTTCAACCAACATTGTAAGATAACTCAAAAAATACAAATTCTTTCATGAGCGCATAGATCGAGAACCTGTAAATTTTATTAAAACTTTAAAATTAGTTAGTGCAGATAAATTTCAAATTCAACGTGCACACTGTGTATGCAGGGGAAAAATTCTATTTCAATCCCTGCTATGACAATGATACTTTGGCAGACAAAGAAAATTTTCTTTTCTTTGAAACATATTTAAGAGAAAAAAAATATTTTTGCTTCTGGTCATGCCTTTCATTTCATATTATGGTGAGAATGAAATTAGCTCAATTATGGTGAGAATAAAAGAAAAACGGCAAAAAACAAAAGCACTCATTTTTTGCAACATCACTCTCAGGACTTTTTTAGCCTTAACCGCCAAAGCTAATGACCATTCATGATAGCTATGCCTGCTGGGTTTAATGCAGATGCATGTTGCCTTGGAGCAGGAAG